CTCACGAAGAGCATCATAGTCAGCACAGGCACTCTCCTTGACGCAGCAGAAGTCGCAGACATAGTTATTCTCATAGCCATTTGGATCAACGCATTGATGAAGTATAAAGAGAGCTTTATAATCTTTCTTCTTCAGTTCTTTATAAGCAACATTTTCTCGATCTGTCGTGTTTTCTACAAGCGGTGTTACTCCTTCCTTCACAAGATCCCAAAGATCTTGATAACATAAAACCACCTTCATCTGTTTGCACCAATTCTCATAATTATTGTTCTTGAGAATAAGACTCGTCGGAAAATTCTCGTTTTGATGATTCATTGGCACCGTGATTTTCTTGCCATGAATCGCTCAGTCAGTGCTTTAGATACCAGATGTTGGAATTAACCCAAAACTTTAAGAATTCTGAATTAATCTTGATGAACAAGATTCAATCAACCTGATTGAAAATTCCTTGTTCTTTACTCTTCACTCAAGTGAAACAATCACACCTTGATTGCAAGAATGGTTCTGCACAACAATTGTTAATGAAAAAAGAAAAGAAAAGAAGACTAGGGTTTAACAAAATAAGGGAAGAGGAGAATGATTTATGTAGAGTATCTCTCTGCTCTCAAACTGAGAAAAATATTATTCAACTATGCAACTGCACTTTCTATTGTGTGTTACAATATTATTCTCTATTCTTCTTACTCAAAATAGGGGTTACTCCCTCTATTTATAATTGAGTTATCTTGCTCCCTAAGGTAAAGCCCAAAATTTCTATTTTGGTCTAAGTCGAAATCCTGTGTCAAGCGACCTGCTTCGACATCTAACACAACTCGGCACACACACATACATTAGGCTAATTTCGAAACATCCTTGTTTCTGTCGAGCTACACTTGCTTCGACACAAGGAATTACAATCTCAATACTGGTTAATCCCCCTATTCATCCCCATCGAAAGCTCCAAACTACCATAACAAACCGTGAACTCGTAATTTCCAATCATCTCTAACTCTAGCTCTAAACATTGGTATCGTCTGTAGGAATCGACTTTTAATTTCTATAATTTAATTTCTCTCGATTCTACCATATTTTCTTCAATCGAAGCGTAGATTTTTATTTCTTAATAAATCCTGTCAAATTCATAATCCAACTCTCCTCCATCATATCTGCCAGCAATGGCAGCTTCCAAAGCCATTCACTCTATCATTTAACAACAAATTGCTACAACCACTAAAGTTGTCTGAAATCCTTTGCTTCTTCCTCAAGGGACTTTCTCATGGTATTCAATATAATCCTTCAATTATCTTAAGTCATCAACTATTTCTTTAAGGATTTTTGATGTCCTGTGAGCAATTATTCTACTTCCTTTCTTTGGTGTCTTTCATTTCTCACACAGTTTTCATATTTTTTTCTACCAATTCATTGAGTTTTTGCTCCACATCCTCAAACTCGTCTCATAAGCTCTTTTCAACTCTTGTGAATTTTTACCACAACTTCTTCCACATGTATGTTTTATTTATGGTTTTATGATGTTGTTAGTTGCGTACTTTAAGTTCCTCATTTGCACCTCTTAGGAAATTTTGCACATTATGTATTTCATCTTCTTCTATATTTAACCTCTTGTTGTTCCCTTTGATAATTTTCTTCTATTGAGCATTCTCCCACCATAATTTTCTATTCTCTTGAGAGGTTTTTTCTAGCTTTTCTTGCAACTCCTCTTTTTCTTTCTTAAATTTTAGTATGGTTGCCTTAAGCTCTTATACTTCTTCAATTTAGATGGAATTTGAATTTGGTGACTCTTGTTAGCATGGGCCCTATCCCTTTTTAATCCAGTTTTGTTTACGAAAAGATGAGGTTCAAAACGATCAAGTTCTACAACTTGCATCTTGAAAACTCGACTATTAAGATAGATGTACATTGATTGAAAATATGAAAAAGTCTTGGTGTGTAAAAGCTTACTTAAGACACATGAAAGAGATATGGATTGAAAAAATGTGAGGGTAAGTTAAATCGATGAACGCGTGGGTGGAAAAAATCCTAAAATTGGGAAAAAATTATGGTCATAATCTGAAATTATAGGCTGGTCATGATTTGGATTGTCCAAAGATGTGAAAATAGCAAAACTAAAAAACGAAGATTATGGGGGCCCTAGGGGAATTACGGGTTTTCTGTAATTCTCTCTAGACTGAAATTATGGTTGTAATATAGGATTACGGGTTGTCAATAATTCCTCCAAGCACAGACCATGGATGTAATCAGTTACGGGTTGGTCGTAATACTAATTGTAATGGCTTTTGGTTAGGATTTTGGTTAGTATTACGGGTTGGTCGTAATACTAACTGTAATGGATTTTGGTTAAGATTTTTTCTCTTTTAGGTGTTATGGTAATCTTAAGTACAATTCATCATCTATAAACCAAGAAAAACTAAGACTTAACATGGTCGAATCAGGGCCCATATAAGAAAATGAACAAGCTTTCACTTTAAACCAAAAAAATAATAGAAAACAAAGTGAATCCTAGATGATAGGTTTATCCATAGCCATTAGTTTTCAACTTAAACATGGAGCTACAGTGTTCCTAAAAATAGTCTAAACAACTAACAACAGCAACACAATATATTCAAGATTATGGCAAAAATAGGAAATATAACTCAAAAATAAACTCGTCAAAACATAAAAATAATAAAATGCAAGATGTTGAAAAGAGGTTGCCAATAATAAGAGCTTTGAAGAGATATTAGGTGTTGTTCTGTAGAACCTAGGATCTCTTCAAATTTTTATTGGTAATGTCACAAAGACGAACATTGGTGATTTTGACAATTCATTGAGATGAACATTGAACTCAACAAGAGTTTTTGTTTCCACCATCTTCAAGTTTTCAATTTTGGTGGTGAGGATTGGAATTTTTGACATCCGAACTTTAGAAATTCGTTCAGGAGCCACTTCAAAAAAATTTCATACCTTTTTAGCACTATTGCAGGTGTTAATGACCCTGGAAATATTTTTTTCAACTCCATTGTAAATAGCATTAAGGCCATAAGATTTTCCAAGAGCATCATGAATTCCCAATCATTTTTTAGGTTTCACATATTCAAACCCAACATCAAATTTGATCGTAAGAGGTGTCCATCCATTGATGACAATTTTTCAAGTTTCGTTATCCATGGACTTGAGAAAGACAAAGATGTGAGCCTTCAATAAGGGTAGAAATAGGTTGGGTCGAGCTAAACTTTGGCAAACCTAAGTCTAACCTACAAAAAAAACCAAAGCCTAAGTCTGACCTGTAGCTTGTTATAGACTTATTTTAGGCCTGAGTCTGGCCTTTTTGAAGGTCTGGTTAGCCGGTTAGTCTACATAAAAGCCTATGTATTTTAGATATGTGTAAATAAGCAATTCAAATAATGTTTAAATAAACCAACAAACTAAAAGACCTATGAGACTAAAAGTTTGTTTGCATTGACTTATTTTAACTTACCTATTAACAAAAGTTTTGTGAGACTATTTGTTTAAAAGAACTTATGAAAACAACTCATAACATTGTTCATAAAGTGTTTTCATCTTATTTTCATAAGTTTTACAAGATAACCAAGTTTTATTTATGTATTTTAATTCAAAATACAAAATATTACATAATAATAATATTATTATTATTCATATTTATTTAAATAGGACGGTCTAATAGGTTTAAAAGGTTTTTTTATGGCCTGAGACCTAGTCTTTTTAACTAAATAGACTTATAAAGAGCATGTGTCTTTTTTATTTAAAAAACAAGCATGGTCTGATCTTAGCTTGTGTAGGCTAGATCGTAGGCCCTGTTAGTCAGTCTTGTCTATTTCCACCCCTAGCCTTCAAGTAGTCATAATTTATTCGATTAAGAATTGGTGGACGATTCATAGATCCATCTTCCTTGATATTGTCCATTTTAAACAGAAAAGTTTAGTTACCCTAGAACACACCCAATTGGAACAGGGTGTCTGTTCTAATTCTAATTGAAATTGTCACACATAATGTTGAAATAATGTGTGAGACATAATGATATGAATTAAAAGATAAACAACTAAGCAAATAATAATTAAAGGACACAAGAAATTGATAACCCATTTGGTGCAATTGTCGCCTATGTTTGGAGGGAAATAGTCCAATGGAAAAGAATTTCGTTAATAATAAGTAGTCAATACCTCACGACAATCTTAGCTAAACTCTCTCAATTCAATGTCTTCTTTCTAATAGTACCCATGAATTTCAACTCAGACTTTTCCTAAATCTAAGATCTCCTTACTTCTACTCAAACACTCACTCAAGTATTTATAAAAATCAATAATATGAGTGTGACAATCGTCGTGTATACAAACTAAAACTCTATCTCGCCTAAGTAGTGACTCGATGATTAATCTCTTAAAATGTGTGTATTCTCTTTTGTCAGGCTAGTCCACAAGAAGAATCTATCTCTTTAAATAGAGAAGCGAATCCAACTAAAAAATCCATTGGTATTTCAACGAATAAATCTATATCATATCCGATATTTAGAAAGAAAAAAAAAATTCCCGTAACATATCCAATCTTCAACAAATTAAATATTTTTCAAAGGAATCTTTCCAAAGATAAATCATGTTGATTCTATAACAAATTAAATCTTTTCAAAACAAATGATACAAATTCTGAACAAAATTACTCACATAATAGTAATTGGAACGCAAAATCTGAAATTAAATTAAATCTTTTCAAAAATATTACACCAATGAATAATAAAATTATGTTTCAACAACTTTTGTGACATCTTACTTAACATTTTACCAATTAAAATAAGTCAATCATTATAAAAACAAGCTACTAAACATTATGAACTAAAATTTTATTTGAAAAAATTTTAAAAATAAAGTACTAACTACTCATGGGTCATGACCACTAGTGAGTATGAAAAAATTTAATGTAATTGCAATAAGTGAGTATTAAGCATCATAGCATATTTCTTTGCATTATTCTTTAGTATTTCCTAGAATGAATCATGAACAACAAAATGGCTAGGAGTAGCTACTATCTTCAAATCTTTCTAATACAAAGATATTGCCTTTGTCGTCCCTTCCTATTCTCATGTTGTCATCAACATATCTATAAGATAATAGAATTAAGAAACAACAACAATCATCATCAACATTAGTAGTATAAAAACAAAGAAAGACAATTTATGCAACAGTCAACAAAAATTAGGATACGTGATATCTAGCCACCCCTCTGGATTGAAGATGCTCAACAAAATATCATAGTTTTTTCGAAACACATTCATCAACTGTTCATGTAAGGAGGAAAAATTGATTAAGCATTGGAAATTAGAATGAAAATTATGATTAGCATAGAATCAAAAATTGTAGCATACCTGATCAGGAGTGATTGTGGATTTTTCAAAAGTAATGTCAACCCTCTGAAATTCAAGTAGTAGCTATGTAAGCAGTTATTTGGTAGAAATTCATTAAATAAAAGTGACCAAACAAGAAGTGGAGCATTAACTGTTTTAGAAGCAATCTTGAATGAGGCCTCAATAGTAAGCTCTCCAGACAACATTGTCAGCCCTTTTGCATTGAACTTTACCACATTGACTGCTTTGTTCTCCATTTTCAAATCACATCACCAATGTTTAATCTCATTAATAAATCAAAATTTATGAAATGGAAACGGTTAAGTTTTGTGTTTTCTAAAGTTTAGGTGAGGATTGCCCCACCCCTTATATTGGATATATTATCTAATGTGGTACTCTCAATATGCACCCACACGTTCAGAATTGGACAACTGAAGCATGGAAATAAATAGTAGGTAGCCCGATAGCGGATACCTGATAGCAGGTGGCCCACGGATCTTAAACCAAACTCTTGATACTATGTTAAGAAATGTGATTTAGACCTAACTCAATCCTACAAAACCGATTTGTAGGGTGAGGATTGTCCCCACTTATAAACACATGTTCAGGCTATATATTGTCCGATGTAGTACTCTTAACCGTTATCAAATAAAATCTCAAGTAAAAAGAAAAAGAACCAGAATCATACAAAATTGAGAAATCCATTGTATTTGTACCTTGGCTTTATCAATAGTCTGAAAGAAATCACCTAATGAAATAAAGTCTCTTAGGCCTAACTTTGTCCTTCTTGATCCCAAAATTGAGATAGTGCTATAAACAAGCCTCCAGCATCCATCCACCTTCCAACAAAACAAACATAACATTAAAGTTCCTATATGTTGCATAATTTTGGTCACAGCATCAATGTTTTTATGTCTCTCTGGCCACAGCGCGGCCCCTTACCACGACGCACCAATAACAATCGACTACATTTCTCTATAATATCAAAAATTACGACGCGGTTGCGACCGTGCCCTCAATTTAAAATGTTCAGAATGACCAACTAACATAGAGAATTGAAATTACCTTATCCAGTTCAAGAGTTGGTTCTGGAGTAGGATTTTGAGATTCTAGCTGCTTGACCAAACTTTCAATTTCCAACTTCTTTCCAGATGGGATTCCGAATATCCCTCTGTTGATTCCTTCAAACATATTTGTTGTTTCAATCAAACAATGCTAAGTGTAGCTCACAACAATAGAGAATAACAAGAATAATTGAAGATGGTTGGTAGTTGGTACCTTCCAAAGCCTGATAAAGTTCTATTTTCTTCTGAGCAACTGTTTCATCTTCAACTAAGCCATAACCAGAGGATTTTCCTGCAACTTTAATAATAGTAAAGGGTCGAAACCATAATGGTTTGTCACCAAATCTTGAAGTGTTTATCCTTGAACGGTTAATAACCGGTCCAAATCTTTGAAGTTTCATGATATTCACAGTTCTACAAACCAGAGGACTCAAATGAGAATCAGACATTGATGGATGCACTAGCTTAGTTATCATAATAACCTTCAAGATTACATACAGAAGATAGAGGAGGATGGTGAGACCTTCACAGGTTGTTCTTTCAAGTTTGATGATAAAACATAAAAGGGTGTCTCAAAATTTTGGAGACAGTGGAACTCTGTACATGTTTGTTGTCTTATTTGATTGTTTTAAAAAAGGTTTTGGATAGGTTTATTGAGACATGTGGTTAAAATTCCAAGTGTATATGAGGCCCATGAGATAGATACTGTGTGTGTGTTGGAACCTAATTTACTGGCCTCAAAAGTTACATGCTTCAATAGTGTCCATAAATTGAGTACAAAAATATATAACAATAAAAATTGTGTTGACTACACTCGCAGTGTTTTTCAACCATTCATCCATTGATGTGCCATTCCAATAGAGTTAACATTTTATTCAGCATGCAGCAGTAATGACATGTTCAGCAGATTGTGTTCATAAGTAACAAAGATTATCAAGCTTCCTTGTTCAACTGTGAAGGAAATTGTAGATTTTCAAGGTACCTTTGAATCTTTTGTATAAGAAAAGAATAAGAATTCACAATGCAATAGGCAATGACAGGCGGTTAATTTGGCGAAATCACAGTGGCACTGTGAATTTGTGTTAAGTTCAAGAATAACAGCTTTAGCAAAAATCATCGCTACACACAGTGATTTTGTCAAACTCATTGTGACTCAAACATATATTCGATTTAGCAACACGTGCCCAAGAAAGTATAGAAGAGAAAATTTATCACAAAATCACCCGAGTGTTTTTTTTTAAAACTAAAATTAAGCAGTACAATATAAAAAAATTGTGGCAACATAAGATACATATGATAGAACTATGATCCAGAAATATTGGCAGCAACATATTGTAAGGATTTTTTATTCATAATAACTGTTATTATATGATCTATGCAGCAGGGTTTGATTGGTTGGATTCTTGCTGTTTTTTCCACTGCTCTGGAGTTACAGCTTTCTTTACAGAAAGTGCATGAATCTCTTTCATTTCCTCTTCTAATGCAGCATTCACCATTCTATGCCTTTCCAGTAATCTTTTGCCTTCAAATTGTTCTGACACAATCTCAACAGAAAAACTTGCGCCACACCTAATAAATACCAACATTTATACAATTGTAAGACATAAAACAGGCAGTTTAACAGTGCTAAAACGGAAAAAATCTTACCCTCCAGATATATCGATTACTTCCTGAAACACAAACAAACAAGCATAAGAACATAAGCAATTCAAAAGAAAGAAAGAAAAAACAGAGGTGTTAAATACAAATGGAAGGTTCCCGTGTTGGTGTGGTAGTATTTGCAATAGACATAATTCCGATGAACTTATATAATCCAATGAAGAAATTGAACTTAATTACAAAAGTGTCGATGCAAGTGTCCGACACTGACACAGTCTTTTTTTTAGAGGTGTCGGTGCTGCATAGTTGGTCCATGATTCAATCTCTAACAATGAAATTTCTTTATATTATTTTATGATATATTAATGTAAACAAATTGTTGAACATAACAGACAGTGTCATTCATTATAGCCGTTGGATGAATCAAAATCGCAAAAAAAAAAAAAAACATCATTGAAAGTGTCTTCTACTAGTCAATTTGGTCCTCAAATCAGTTAGTTTGGTCCTTACATGTGTTTTAAGATTATGAGTTTGGTCCATGATAATTCTCCAAAACAATAGTATCATAAAGCACATGAGATATTTGGATCATAAAGCATGTCTAATCTATATATGACAGAAACAAAGAAATTGCAAATTCCAAAATAGTTAGGGCAATAATAAGAAAGTGGAAGGAAATTGGGAAGAAAAGCTTACAAGATGGGAAGGGTTAAGTTTGGAGTTCAAGGATGACTCAACTTGTTCCTTTGACACACCCATCTATCTTTTGTGGTTTTGCTTCTTCTTTTTTTAGGGTATGCTTCTTCTTCAATTTGCGTTTTAGTTTTAACTTGCCGTTGTTCCCACGCCGATAAATATACGAATATAATAACTCCCCCCGTCCAAGTTCAATTAAATGTAAAAAAAACTATTGTTTTTTTTTTAATTTTAAATTAATTAAACTTTATTTTTTATATTATTATTTGTAAAATACATTTTATTTTATATTTATGATAAAAACATATACAACAATACATAATAATAGAAAAAAAAATTGATTTTTTTTTTTGTTTTTGTTCAAATTGCTACCACCTAAAGAATTTGCATTTTTATAAGAATTCTTTCGAGTAATTTTTTTTTTTTTTGATAATCATAAAGGATCTTAAGGACATTCAAATTTAACGGCTTTATGCACTTTATTTTTAACAAATGGTGAGTTTGTTATTCTCTTTCTATTATATATACAAAAGGTGTCAAATTCAGGTAAAAAGTTTCAAACTCAATTTAAATTCACTTTTCTTTCTCACATAGTGACTTGAGCGTTGAAGTGTTAACCCCCTCTCCGCCGCGCTGGAAAGGAGATGAATCACCTCAATATAAGAATCATCAGAGGAGCAAGAAGCATCACAATCCTTCCCAAAGTCCAGAGGGAGACTGTAGCAATCATGTTCCTCCCCCGGATTAGGAAGAAACCTAGTCGTTGAAGGTTTAGCATAAGCATCCATTGTACACCAGGATTTTGGAAAGCAAAATACCAAAATTTATGGAGTATTTGCTCAAGCTAAGGGAGTATGATAGAAATAGGGATCTAGACAAACACGTACAACTCGTCAGTGACGAGGTGAACTATTTAGTGTTGATGAAGCCTCCAAATGCAATTTGTTTGCATTAACCCTGGTCGGCCCTACTAGTCTGTGGTTCAGTGATCTGTCGAACGGGAGCTTCGAATCACAAACAAATTTATGTGAGCATTCTCCACACATATTACTGCCCAAAAGAGACAGCTGATGATTGTAATTTCCTTGAGTGGGATCGTTCAATGGATGAAAGAGATCTTGCAGTCTTATATTGACCGTTTCATGAAAGTTGTTGTTGAGGTGGAAGGGGCCGAAAAAGGCCTGAAGTGCTAGATCTTAGAGAATGTCCTTCTGCATGGTCATCCCTTCAGAATAAAAATCAGAAGGAAGAAGGTGAAAACCACCCAAGAGATGTTGAGCATGGATTATTCGTACATGATCTTGGAGGATAAGTTAAACATACGCTTTAATAACCCCGCCTTTGTTGGCCCTAACTCCAATTTCCCGACATGGAAGGAGTCCAGCTGGTGGAGATACGATTCTACTCGAGATATGCAAGGCTGTACGAGAAGTACATGCCTCTAAACCTTTCTCGAGAGAATATTTACCAAGGTTGTGCCAACACAAAATTCAGTAAATGCAGAATCTGACCTCTACCCTACCAAAGAGACATTTCAGACTGACAAGTCAAAGTAGTGTCAGTTTCATAAAGGCCACGACCATAACATCGACGACTCCATTGCATTGAAGGACTGGTCAAGAGGGGCAGGTTGACCGAGTACGTAAAAGGTGGCAATAGAAACTGGGAAGAATCACTTAATGGAAAGTCTCCCTTGAAGACTGCAGATGTAGAGACCAATGGAGAAATCAAGGAGGCCAGGAAAGGGTAACACCCATATATCTCCGCCATCACAAGAGGGACACCCCAAGCAAACCTTTCATCTAAAGGGACCATGTAGTGGAAGATAGTTGAGATGCTAGTCGTCCACAAAAAGGATGAAATTACATCGGTGAAGATTTTGGACCGACCTATGTTGGGATTCTAGGACTCTGAGAAGGTGGGTGATATCCCTAAATAAATTTTCCCTCTGGTGATCACAACCACTATCCGGAAGTTCGACATCCCTTGAATATTGATTAACGATGGAAGATCCTACGATATAATGCACTCAGAGCTATTTTAAAAAATGGACCACAAAATAGAAGCTTTTGGTCGTATGAAGGCTCATATTTGCAGGCATTCAATGAGACGCCCACCCGTTCATATGGATACGTTGAGTAGACGGTATTAGCGGGCGATGTGAAGGATGTTCAGACAGTCAATTCTCAATTTTTGGGTGTCCCTTGTAGAAGCAACTATAATTGCGTTCTAGGACAACCCTTCACTTCTATGTTGTACGCAGTATTCTGGCCGCTCCACCTCAAACTCAAGTATCACAATCTTTAGGGAGAGTCGGTCACCATTGACGCCAATCTTGAAGGATGAAAAAGGATTTATCAAACTCTCTAGAAAAAATAAGGAGAAGGTGTAGTCGTGGATATTAACATGGCTTCTCTAACCGACTAGCTCGACGTAATGGGCATCCATCCCATAAGAAGTGGCTAGATAAACAAAAGCATGTAGGGAAACTAAGCGACGACTAGCTCGTCCGGATATGTTTTCTTTCTTATTTTGCACTAAAAATGTCATATTTGTATAATCATTCTCCTCATGTATAGAAGAAATTCCCAATAATTAATGAAATGTGACAATTTCTCAAATATTCGTTTCTTTGTGATTGTGCACAGTAACAACAACCTTGGGGCATGACTGGCAAGATCAAAGCCGGACAAAAAGAAATTCAAGAGTGTTATCATTGACGCTTTACAAGTGTGACTACATCAATAAATTCCCTACATCATAAAGCACAAACTATGAAATCATGGGTATTTCCACAAACACTTTGCACATGCAACTTCCCACTAAAAGTTAGAGGTGTTGTCATAGACGCTTTGCTCGTGCGACTAAAGCAATCAATTCTCTATCGAAATTCAAAGGTGTTATCGTAGACGCTTTTCTTGTGCGACTAAAGTAATTAAATCTCTACATGCAATAACAGTCCACCCTCTTTGCAGCTAGAGGTCATGGTGAGTTAGTCATACGTCTACCCCAAACTGGGTTTTCACCTGGGGGAAGGGAACCGACCCTTGGTTAGTAACAACCCCGCTAACATGCAATAAACTTTTAAGAAAGACCTCGCAAGGTTGCATAAGATCCAGAGCCATGTGATCAAGATCACATTGATACACCTCATGCAGGTAAAAAAGAATTCACTCTAAATAAGGTAATATATAAACATATGTTATTCAATTATAACTTACTTAACATATAATACACAAAAAGAAAATTGGATGACATGGTAACTCCAGCAGAGAGATGATCTTTCCACTTTGAGCCTCTAATCTGGTCGAATTTGCTCCCTCGAGATAAGAAGAGGACACTGAAGGTGTTTCACTTGTCGTATAGCATTCTCAAATGATTGCGACACTGCCCCAATGATGGAGGTTGCACATGAAGGTGAGAAAATACTTAGAAGGGGGGTTGAATAAGTATGAAGATAAAAACTTAGAAATAAAAACTCAAGTATTTTTATCCTGGTTCGTTGAACTCAACTACTCCAGTCCACCCTTCCTAGAGTGATTTTCCTTTCTCAATCAAGGACTTAATCCACTATTTAATCAACTGATTACAATAGTAAGCACTAAGAACAACTGTTCAAAGTCTTCTCAAGAACTACTGATCCTAACTGGATCTTCTTAAGGTTTTCTTACAATCAAATGTAATAACAAATACAAGTGTTTAAATTGCTTTTAATAAAGCTTTATCACAACTGTGATTTTTCACTTAATATTAAGAACAAAGAAATTAATTCTAGAAAGAATTTGAATTGTATGAGAGCTTGGATATTGATTTCTTTTCAAGTAAAACGTCCACAGAAGAAGATGGGTGAAGACTTGCTTTTATAGGCACATTGATCCAAAAGTACTTCACGTTGAGAAGAGTGTACCAAAAGGTCTGAGCCTTTTTGTCTTCACATCAAGTGACCTTTCCTAGAAGAAGAAAGCACAAAGAAATCATTTTTGTCTGTGTTCTTGTGTCTAGCATAAATAAGGAAAGAGTCGTTTGGATATTCCAACGGACATAATCTTTGAATTCTTCTTCATCAATTTTCAGCAAGAATCATCAGAGTCTAATTTGATCAGAGCCTTCTGATTATGATCAGAGTTTGCTGAATCAGAATCTTTGCAGCAGGTGTGCTTTTAGCGTGTATAAGTTCAAAGCATATTTGAGTCAGATCCTCAGTACTGGCAGCTTTAGTACTTTCAAAATCTTTTGTAGTAACTATGCTTGAAAACTCTTCATACAGAATTCTTCTTTGGTTCAGATGCTTCTGACTTGCTTCAGATTCTTCTGGAGCTTCTGCTTCAGATCCTTCTTGAGCTTCTGCTTCAGATCCTTCTGGAGCTTCTGCTTCAGATCCTTCTGGAGGCTACGCTCAGGATCTTTTAATGGATGCATCTGGCGCTTCAGAGTCTAGCATATTTCATATGTTCAGTTCTGATTTTCTTCTGGAGTGATAATTACTTTAATATCTGCAGTAAAAACTCTTAAGCAAATTTCAGAGTATATAATTCTTAATTAAAAAATTTCATAATAGTTATCATCAAAACATAGAGATATTATTAAGAACCAATCTGTGTTCTAACAATCTCCCCCTTTTTGATGATGACAAAAACATCAGAAATTTTGTTTGATTGAAAAATATAATAATTATAACTCCCCCTGAGATGATGAATCTCCCCCTGAATTAAATATAAATAAGGAATAGAAACTTCCCTTTTGTCTTGAGTGTTTTTCAGAGTTAGAACTTGATTGTTCTATAACATTTGAGAGTTAGAGTGTCTTGCATATTTCAGAGTCAGAGTCTGATAGTTGTCAAATGATCTGAGAGTCTCAGAGTTTCTTTTACAGAGTGTACTTATCAAATGTTCTGTAATACTCAGATTTTATGTTAGATAAAATTGATATGTCTGAAGTTTCATTCTGGTGAAGTTTAATTAAACAGTTCATATCTATATTTTCTCCCCCCTTTTTTGTCATAAGCAAAAAGGAATAGCGTTGAAAAGACAAATAAAAGGAAACATTAAATGAGATAAATCATG